TCTTATGAAGAAATATGAACACTGTTCGTGCCTTATCTCATTGCCTGCTGTTTACTTCTGTTTCTATATATGAGCAGATGGAGCACATAAAGTTTGCATCTGGTCTTAACTACTGGCAGGTTTTGACAATGTCATCTGTTAAATGTTGACAAATGTCTCCAGGTACTGGTGTGGCAAAGTGATTTTTCAAGCCAGTACCTCTGACATTTAATCAAGATGAAACATGCCACTGGCCTGCATCAGTATTACTGAATTATGAGAATTCTGTGACATGTTATAAAATAAATCTTTTTCTTTTCATTTATAATGTGATCTAGGCATGTGTTCCCCAACTTTTAAAATGTAAATATTTGAAAGTTGTCACAGTGTGTGTGTTTCACTGTTGTGATTTGACTTCTTTTTGAAATGTATCTGATCTCTACCGGAGGAACAAATACACTCAAGCAGTTCGAGTTAGGTGGGTAGAAAATAATGAGGGAAAATTAAACAACAACTTTAAGTTCTAACTAAGGCACAGCTGACTTGATAAGTCAGCAATGGTAGGTTGACACTTAGCACAGCATTTAATCACTTTGAAATCAGGAAACTTTCAATTCACGTCAATACTCCTTTAAATTTAATCATTTGGTAAGGGTTTTGGAGGTTTGGGAAAAATAAAAGAGATTTCGATACACCAAGTGTATGCTTTCAGCTTCAGATTGGCCTCAATGTTCATAATTGCTTTGTCAGTTTCTTGAACTAATGTTTAGCAGAGAACTCTTGTCTGCTTAAATGTTTTTGAGATCTTTTGAGCAAACAGGATTGGAGGTGCTATGGATGTTTTTGAGAGTACATCAGATAGGCAGGAGAAACACTACTGAAGTATGCTGTAGCGGAATGAGAAAGTGCATAAGGGAAAGATGCAAAACAGCAGACACTGACATCAATTTTATTTGTCCATCGGATATGGGCATTACTGACAAGGCAAACATTTATTGACTATCCCCAAGTATCCAGAATACAGTTAAGACACAACCACATTGTCGTGCGTCTAGAGTCATGTGTGGGCCACACCAAGCCAGGATGGCTGGGTTTCTTCCTTAAAGGACATTTAAGAACAAGGTGGGTTTTTAATGACAATTGACATTGCTTACATGATCATCATTAGACTAGCTTTTTACTTGATTCAAATTTCAAGTTCTGCTGTGCTGGCATTTGCACCCGTGCCCTCAGAGCATTAGTTTGGGATTATGGATTGCTGGTCAAGCCACATTATCACTATGCCATGGTCTCCATTTCAAGTTTGAGGTTGCAGGAAACTCTGCCCATATAAGAAAGTGCAGAGCAACTCAGCTTCCTGGCCGAGTAGTGTTTATGGAGGCCCTGATTGCCAAGGCAGGTGGTTACAAGTCTCCTAGGAGAAGCTCAATTTCTTATTCTCCTCTCAATTAATCCCTGCCTCTCCAAGTGCAGATTAGTTCTGTTCTTTAAAATTGCTTCCAATAGTTTTGCCACGACAGAGGTTAGACTGACGAGCCTGTAGTGTGCTACTTCTCCCCTTTCTCCTTCGAGTAATCATACCACACTGGCTGTCCTCCAGCCTTCCAACACCTCTCCTGTGGCTAGAGAAGTAAAAATTATTGACAGTGCTCCTGTTATTTTCTCCCTTGCCTCGCTTAACAAGCTGGGAAAATTCCAACTGGCCCTGGAGATTTATCTACTTTTTAAGTCTGCCAGACCACTCAGTATCTCCTCTTTGTCTATGCTAATTTATTTAATTATATCACCGTCTTACTCGATTTCTATACCCACATTATCCCTCTCACAACTGAGCACCGACACAAAGTATTTATTTAGAACCTTACCCATGTCCTTCAGTGCCACGTACAAATTACCAAGTAACAGTGCTCACTAATGAATTATGAATTACAAGAGAAAACTGAGGTTGTATTTAGAAAGTTAAGGGACAGTTTGATCAAAATTTTCAAGATATTGAGAACAGGTGAGGTAGTTAAAGGAAGACTATTTCCACTGCTTGGGAAGTCTAGTAATTATTGAGATAAAGTACAGAAAGGCCTCATTTTGGTTTTTCAGATGGGAAATTAGCGAACTGGAAGTTGTTTGCACCATCTTGAAAGTCTTCCAAAATGATTTGCTAGTAAGGTAGAAAACCTATGGCATCAAAGGGCAGTGGACGTAATTATCAATTGATGCTCACAAGTTGATGAAGTTAGAAGAACTAAACCTAACACATTGTATGGAATGTATAGATTTCCGCAATCACCAAGGAAATACCCACCTTTCAGTCAATTTTGCAGTGTATGTAGCAGAAAAGGCCATTGGCAGAGGCAGTGCCCAAGAGAAAAAATTGATGCAGTTACAAATAGCTATAAACAGACCCAAATAGTTTGCTCACAAGGGATACCTTCAAGCTATAAAGACCATTGGTGTTTTGTCAGAGGTGTACACATGAAGTAACCAACAAACCAAAATTTGATTATTTGTATGATGGGACGAAAAGTGGTGAACACACATTCCATATTACTAATTTTGCACAAAACATCAATGCCATCACAATATAAGAACATAAGAACATAAGAACTAGGAGCAGGAGTAGGCCGTCCGGCCCTTCGAGCCTGCTCCGCCATTCAATAAGATCATGGCTGATCTTTTCGTGGACTCAGATCCACTTACCTGCGTTCTCACCGTATCCCTTAATTCCTTTATTGTTAAAAAAAAAAATCTACCTTATCTTTAAAAATGTTTACTGAAGTAGCGTCAACTACTTCACTGGGCAAAGAATTCCATAGATTAACAACCCTCTGAGTGAAGAAGTTCCTTCTCAATTCAGTCCTAAATCTGCTCCCTCTAATCTTGAGGCTATGCTCTCTTGTCCTAGCTTCACCTGCCAGTGGAAACATCCTCTCTACTTCTATCTTATCTATTCCCTTCATAATTTTATATGTTTCCATAAGATCCCCTCTCAATCTTCTGAATTCCAATGAATATCCCAAATATTTACAAAAATTCTAATTGTCTGTCGACTGAAAACTCATGTCTACTCATTATTGGCTAAGATTGACACATTGGAAGTATTAATAAACTACTCCTGCGAGTTCTAAAAGAATATGTACCCACAAACATGGGTAGCTATGGAATAAAAATGATGAATGTAAAGCTTTCAACATGTGAAGACTCACCGTATGCCTGATGAATAATGATGGACTGCAAGTACAAACAATTCACTTGGATGTCCTGGATGTTCTACATCATAAAAACTGCTGAATCATGAATTCACTCTAATCCATGGAATCAGTCAATAATCAGATACACAAAGAAACTTCAGCAGACTATTCAAGGAACACTTGCAAGGTTAAACATAAAAAAAAGGAACCCTTCAGTTTCTTCTGAATTAGTAGAGCTAACGTCTCAGTTCTCTGCTATGGAGAGAAAAAAAATTAGATTTCACGAGGTAACGGATGAACAATTAATAATCCAGGATAAATCCAAAGTTGTGACTACCATCTCCAAAATGATGAAATCTTTAGTGGATTACTCTGCTCCAGTCACAATGACGAATGAAGTATTTAAAGACAAAGAAAGAAAGCAAGGTTAACCACAAGGTTTGTTTCATCAACCCAATGAGAAGAGTCACCGGACCTGAAACATTAACTCTGATTTTTCTTCACAGATGCTGCCAGACTTGCTGAGCTTCTCCAGCAACATCTGTTTTTTGTGCTAATGAAAACATTGCTAGTTTACAGGAACATCTGAAGCAACTCACACAAAAGATCAGGCTCTGCAGGAGCAGCGACATAAGCTGGGACTTAACCTTATAAACACAGGTAAAAATGAACAAGGTAAAACAAGGAGCTGTGATCACATGAGACATTCTTTCAAAACTCAATACCAACAATGATGCTTGAATGAATAACAAATGCAGCAGTAGTTTCCCCAAAAGCAAAAAAAAAGACTGAAGAGGCCAGACAGTTATTAGTGCCATTTATGAAAGGCCAACAGAATTCTAAAGTTTTGATAGAATTATAGTATAAAACCAAAAGCACCAAAAACACTTGGAATCTCTTAAGGAACAAAATGGTACATGCCAAGCATATTGGAATCACTTGAAATAACACGAGGAATGAGATCAAACAGTGGCTTATCTGGAAAAATATTTGGCTATAGTACATCAGTGTAGGCAAATTTTGGAATAGAAGGACCACAATCCATGAAAAAAACCTAAAACAATACAATCAAGAATAACAGACAATATGGCTGATCACGATGGATAATCAATGGCACCCCCAGACAAAGTCACCATTGGAAGATCTGAACATATCACTAGATTACCTACCATTATAGAGATTCATAGACTCGCTGGTTACTGTGAATAGTTGATTTTTCTTTTTTGGAAAGGGGAGGTATGTTATATTTGTAACTTTTCTTCAAGGAAATTCACCTTTAAGGACTCAATATGCTGTCCATACATTGTTACTCTTCCTAGTAGTTAGTCTGCTTTGAGTTTGCAAGCTGCAGAAATCAGTCAGTCCTCTACTTTGCTAATAAAGTTGTGAAAAGACCAAAGAAGAAGTAAAAGAGGCAGAAGATCTCATTTTGATTCCAGCAGCTGATAAAATAATTATTCAGAAAATTATACAGAACATAAAATAAAATATAAGTTTTGAAGCACAAAGAATTTTTAAGTTTTATTAGAAGTATACAAAATTTTAAGACTCTAATCAATTTTAAGAATCCAAAAACCTGTAAAACCAAATAGATTCCAAACAGGAAACAATAAATCAGCACAAAGCAAGCAGTCATACAACTCAAAAGTTTCTGAGAATCATTTAATATTATTCAACAGCAATAAAGCATTAACAAACATTGTCAGGTAAATATGAAGCTGTGAAGACATAAGCTTGATACTGAATTGAAATTGAACTAATATAGAAAACAAGATTTTGAAGACACTGATAACCTTAGCGGGACAGAAATCCAAAAACCAGTCAAAGAATACATACCATGACAGAAGATGTCCAACATGATCAGCTTGTCGAGAGAGACGAGTCACACAGCCAGTACGTGATACAAAGAATGAAGATTCTTCAGCACAATTGTTTTCTATTACTGATATTGAGGTAATCTCAGGTCTCCTGTTAAGGTAATGAATCGTCAACAGCAACAAAACCAATGGCCAACCAAGTTCTCGGTGAATGATATTCAAAAGATAAAGGATCCTCCAGGTGAAAATAAATGAACAATCAACATCATGATCAACAATCCTTAAGCCAACGAGCTACTAATTAATCTTCTATGTCCAAAACAAGTACATTCTGGAGGAAATGACAAGTTTGCTAAAATTTGTGAAGTCGCAGACAGGGTGGAGAAGGACAATGGTAATTGTAATATAGTTTTATATACTAATGTATGGCAGATTAACTAAGGAAAAAGAAAGCTTGGGAGAGATGGTGTAGGAGGTAATGGGTATAAAAGAGTGTATCTGTGAGCGAAGCTGAGGCCTTGCTTATTTTGATAAATAAAACAGCCACCAGATGGAGCATTGGGCAGATTGTAGCAGATTGTTCTAGGCTTTTGGCATTTGCAGTTAAGTAGCAAAAATTGAAGCAAGTATTTGAGGGAGATGAAATATCAGAAGGCAGAATTAAGAACATAGAACACAGAACAGTACAGCACAGTACAGGCCCTTCGGCCCACGATGTTGTGCCGACCTATTATCCTACTAAGATCAATCTACCCTGCATACCCTACATTTTACTATCCTCCATGTGCCTATCCAAGAGTCGCTTAAAAGTCTCTAAATTATCTGAATCCACTACCACTGCTGGCAGCGCATTCCACATGCCCACCACTCTCTATGTGAAGAACCTACCTCTGATATCTCCCCTATACCTTTCTCCAACCACCTTAAAATTATGCCCCCTCGTAATAGTCATTTCTGCCCTGGGAAAAGGTCTCTGACCATCCACTCTATCTATGCCTCTCATCATCTTGTACACCTCTATCAAGTCACCTCTCATCCTTCTTCGTTCCAATGAAAAAAGCCCTAGCTCCCTCAACCTTTCCTCATAAGACCTGCCCTCCAGTCCAGGCAGCATCCTGGTAAATCTCCTCTGCACCCTCTCGAAAGCTTCCACATCTTTCCTATAATGAGGTGACCAGAACTGAAAACAATATTCCAAGTGTGGTCTAACCAGAGTTTTATAGAGCTGCAACATAACCTCACAGCTCTTAAACTCAATTCCCCTGCCAAAGAAAGCCAACACACCATACACCTTCTTTACAACCCTATCAACTTGGGTAGCAATTTTGAGGGATCTATGGATGTGGACCCCAAGATCCCTCTGTTCCTCCACACTGCCGAGAATCCTGCCATTAACCCTGTATTCTGCATTCAAATTCAACCTTCCAAAATGAATCACTTCACACTTGTCTGGGTTGAATTCCATCTGCCACTTCTTTGCCCAGCTCTGCATCCTGCCAGTGTCCTGTTGCAACCTACAACAGCCCTCCACGCTGTCCACAACTCCACCAGCCTTCGTGTCATCGGCAAACTTACTGACCCACCCTTCCACTTCCCCATCCAAGCCATTTATAAAGATCACAAAGAGCAGAGGTCCCAGAACAGATCCCTGCGGAACACCACTGGTCACCGAGCTCCAGGCTGAATACTTTCCATCTACCACCACCCTCTGTCTTATATTGGACAGCCAGTTTTGTATCCAGACAGCCAGATTTCCCTGAATCCCATGCCTCCTTACTTTCTGAATGAGCCTAAATGTGGAACCTTAGCAAATGCCTTGCTAAAATCCATATACACCACATCCACTGCTCTACCTTCATCGATGTGTTTTGTCACATCCTCAAAGAATTCAATAAGGCTTGTGAGGCATGACCTGCCCTTAAATATCAAACTGTGATTTTCCAAATAATCATAAATGCTATCTCTCAGAATCCTCTCCAATAATTTGCCCACCACAGAAGTAAGACTAACTGGTCTGTAATTCCCAGGATTATCCCTATTCCCTTTCTTGAACAAGGGATTGACATTTCCCACCCTCCAATCTTCTGGTACTACTCCAGTGGACAGTGAGGATGCAAAGATCATTGCCAAAGGGGCAGCAAACTTTTTCCTGGCTTCCCATTAAAACCTTGGGTATATCCCGCCTGGCCCGGGGGACTTATATATCCTCAGGTTTTTCAAAATTTCTAGCACATCCTCCTTCCTAACATCAACCTGTTCGAGCATATCTGCCTGTTTCATGCTGTCCTCACAAACGTAAAGGTCCCTTTCACTGGTGAATACTGAAGCAAAGTATTCATTAAGGACCTCCCCTACCTCCTCTGATTCCACACACAAGTTCCCTCCACTGTCCCTGATTGGCCCCTACCCTTACTCTGGCCACCCTCTTGTTCTTCACATAAGTATAGAATACCTTTGGGTTTTCCTTGATCCCACCCGCCAAGGTTTTCTCATACCCCCTTCTAGCTCTCCTAAGTCCATTCTTCAGTTCCTTCCTGGCTACCTTGTAGACCTCTAGAGCCCTGTCCGATCCTTTAATTGGTGCGAGGCTGGGGAGAAGTTGAGTTAGGAGTCATGGTGGGGGTAGGGGAAACATGAGTCTATAGTTGAACAGGAGCTAGAACTTGTTTTAATTCATCCAATGTCTCACAGCTAATTGTCAAGGTAAGTCCGTCGGAACCTTGGTATCCAAGTCTAACTCAGTAGTGGAAACTTTTCAGACGACTTCAAATAAACACTTGAGTAATTGACCATTAGAAGATCCTGATGAATTTACATATGTCTTACCTGCGTTATGTTAGTATTAATCTGCCTCAGAGTTAATGTGACTCTTGTGATACAGTGGTAGTGTCCCCACTTCTGAGCCAGGATGCCTAGGTTGAAGATGTATCTGCTCCAGACGTGTGCCATAACATTTTTTTCTTGATTTTATTGTCACATGTACTGAAATACAGTGAAAAGCTTTGTTTATGAGTGGTACAGGCAGATCACAGCAAGGACATACAGATCAAAAAGACTTTGAGGTATACAGGTTATATTGCAGGTTACATTATTTGAGGCTAGACAGTCCATTCAACAGTCTGATAACAGCTGGAAAGATGCTGTTCCTGAACCTGCTTGTGCAACTGTTCAGGCTTCTATATTTTCTGCTTGATGGAAGAGGTTGTGGGAGGTCATTACCAGAGTGCGATGGGTCTTTGATGATGTTGGCCACCTTTCCATGGTAGCGAGCCATGTAAATAGAGTCCATGGACGGAAGGTTGGCTTCCGTGATGGTCTGGGCTATGCACACCACCTTCTGTAGTTTCTTACAGCCCTGGGCAGAGCAGTTGCCACACCAGGCCATTATGCACCCAGTGAGTTTGCTTTCAATGGTGCATCTGTAGAAGTTGGTGAGGGACTTTGTGGTCATGCCAAATTTCCTGAGCTGCCTGAGGAAGAAGAGGCGTTGCTGTGCCTTCTTGACTGTCACATCTACGTAGGAAGTCCAGGACAGGTCATTGGTTATCATCACTCCAAGGAACGTGATGCTCTTCACCATCTCAACCTCAGGGACATATTGGGGGGCTCCAGTGTTGAGTGTTAATGTGGAAGAAATGCAGTTGCCTATCCTCACTGATTGCCACCTATAGGTCAGAAACCTTTGGATCCAATTGCAGAGGGCAGACCTGAGTCCAAGATCATGCAGATTTGACCTCGGTCTGGAGGGGATAATGGTGTTGAAGGAGGAGCTGTAGTCAACAAACAGGAGTCTGACATCGGTATCTTTATTGTCCAGATGTTCCAGGGATGAGTGCAGGGCTAGGGATATGTCATCTTCTGTGGATCTGTTACATCGGTAGGCAAATTGTAGGGGATCGAGGCAGGTTGGATGACTGGAGTTGATGTGGGCCATGACCAGCCTCTCGAAGCACTTCATGATTGTTAAAGTCAGAGCTGAACAAGTTGATTTTTAAAAAATCTAGTAAACTCCTGGACCAGCAGTGAAAGTAGGATTGGTGATAACATGCTACCCCAACAATAAGCCACCAGTAGTTCATACATTGGCATCATATTATAACATACTAAGGGGCCTGGATTAAAAATTAGAGCCAGGGATTTCAGGGTGAGATTAACAAACATTTTGTTATACAAAGGGTGATAGAAGTTTAGAATTTCTAATGGGCAATTATCATTGTGTTGATTTAGAGCACTCTGTAAAAGTTTCCATTTCTGAATTAGATTTGGATACTTTGAAAGATTCCAAGTGATTAATTTAGATCCATAGAATTCCTACAGTGCAGAAACAGGCCCTTCGGCCCAACAAGTCCACACTGAACCTCAAAGAATCCCACCCAGACTCATTCCCCAAACCCACCTAATCTACACATCCCTGAACACTATGGGCAATTTAGCATGGCCAATCCACCTAACCTGCACATCTTTGGACTGTGGGAGGAAACTGGACCACCCGGAGGAAACCCACACAGACACAGGGAGAACGTGCAAACTCCACACAGGCAGCTACCCAAGGGGGAAATCGAACCCAGGCCCCTGGCACTGTGAGACAGTAATGCTAACCACTGAGCCACCAAGGCGCCCAAATAATTACCTGTGAAATGTTGAAAGAACTAAAACTAGTTCTAGTCCTGAATAATTATACCATTGAACCTCCTCTGCCACTGGTGAGTCCAGTGGAACCCCTAACTCCCACCCTCGGTTTCTTCACCTCACCCCACATCCCAATTACTCTCTCAGACCCAACTCAAATTTATCTCTGACCTGGTGGATCCCTGATCATCTATGTTGACCCAATTACTTCCCCAGACTCCACGCTCAACCTGAACTAACCTACCGCTTCGTCCAAGTGCTAGCCTATCCCTTCAAATATTTACGCATTCACTTTCTCTCCATAGCTGCTTAAAAAGGCTTCAGATCTTTTAAACTTCTCTCTAACCAGAGTACTACAGCTAGTGATGCAAAAAGGATCTTACCTTCTGTAAAGATTCCCTCGTCAACTCTATGCAAGATTTGGTGCATTGTGTCTGTTATGAAAGATCCTGCTTCAGAAAACGGTCCTGAAAATAATTGGAAAGTAAGTAGGTA